AAAATTAATGAAATACTTTTTCTTTCACTTTTTGCCGTAAAGCTTTAATTTTTTCATCTTTAGTAAACAATTTTTACTCTTCATCTCCCTAAAATCCACTATATATTTTTTACTTCTTAGTTACTTTTTTTTTTTTACTTTTCTCTCCGTCCCCCCCCCCATTTCCTTTTATTCTTCCTTCTACCACCAGTGTTATTCAAATAAAATTCCCTAATTTTTAATTTTTATTGCCACCGAACAGCACTGACAGGTCATTTAAAAAAAACTGATTTCATAATTGATTAGAAACCACATTACCAACGCAATAATACTGTTGTTACAGCACAAACTTACATACACAGAAGGAAAAAAACGATGACATTTCACCTTGTTCCATTACTTTTTGGTCTGGTTTCCCACATTTTTTTCACTCTTATTGCTCTATATTTCTCCATTACGTTCATCTTTCAAACTTACTCCGTGAAAAAAGAACTATATGATAGCTCTTTTTGTTGCTAACTACTACTTAATAAATTTTATTGTCGTCAACATCTATGACAATTAATTACAATCACCGTGACAAAAAAAAAAGAAGAAACAATGTATTAAGGCTAACTAGAAAATTTTAAAATATTTACAGTGATTAAGATATGGACAAATACAGAAATGCATAAATATGACAAAAAACCACATATTGATTACGTGCAGAAAAGTCAAAAATTAAAATCAATGTTGCTTTTCGATTAACTTTTTTTATATCGTAACATCGACAACTTTACTGTACTGTCCAAAAAGACTATAAGCTGCGAAAAGGGTCACATTGTCCAACTAAATCTATAGTAAGTTATTAGACTTGTTTATGCAAAACTGTTTGCCATAATTCTGAACTACAAATTTTTCAAAGCACTGTATTTAAAGTGCTTCTAAACTGATATGAACAATAAGTAATGTTCCATCTTGATTAACCGTTTGAAACAACTTTTGTGTATAAAACTTATCTAAAATTAATAATCTAATTTTAACTCGTATTTTTTCTTCCTGTTTATGAAACTGAAAAAAAATTTACAAGTTGAACAAAACATTGTTACCAAACTATATCAATAAAAATCCAAGAATTTCTAGTTTTAACCAGCAACAAACGTCACAGTCACACAGTCACTCTGATACTTTCGTCCAGCGTAATTCATTAAAATGATAATGAACAAATATGGAAAAACAAGTCTTCAAGATTCTATAGAAATGAATAAAACGTAAAAAATTTCTTATTAGTCGCTCCTCATAATCATTCAAAAATCTGCTTTTAAAAGCTAGAATAAAAATTTCTGGACAATAAGAGGCAACAAAAGGCTAAGAAGATAGGACCTCATAATATCATTACACGACCACTAAATAACATTTGGACCTTCCGTTTAAAAACACTACAAACCAACTCAACTATTAACGAAAAGTAATGAAAGGTGATGGCGAGACATATCCATTACGCAACCATACCACTACTACCTTCAGCTTTCCACTCAACAAACACTCACCATAGTTTGTTGCTAATTAGTAAATCAGTTAAGAAAACTTAAAAAAACATAATGATACCCGCTAAATCCCGCTCAAAGACTTCCAATTTGAAGCAACAAAAACAAATTACTAAACAACAATGCACTTCTCAAAAAAAGTTGAATCAGATAAATCAGAAGCAAACCAAATAACCACCACACAATTTAACAACTTCATTGCTTCAGAACTTAGTAAGCCCTCTACTAGAGCAAAATCCCGATAAATGCTTCAACAGTTACTACCAAAATTAAGGATGAGACGTTCATCCAACAGCAAAGCAGCAAATCAAATATCCGTTAAAACAAGATAATCCGCATCATAAATAAACTACTCGATTATCTTGTAAGCCATTCAAATAAACTTAGTGTTCTTTGTTTCAAAACAGCAAAAAGCTCCTGAAAAGCCTTAAAAAACTGAAAAATGAAAAGAAATTTTGACTTATAATGACTACATATTAACAGATTAAACATAAACATAACAGTTAAATTCACGTTAGACGAACACTCGGAAAGTATCACCCCTAGAAGATATTTTATTTACATATTTACCTTAATCTTACCTCATCAAAAAATTACAGAAAAAAATTAATACTGGTCAAAATTCTTCAACTTCTTCAAACTTCTTTTTATCAATTTGATAAAATCATGAGGTAAAACTACAATAGAAAACTTGGAAAAAAGGGGTACTTCACTAAGTCTGAGTAGGAACTCATCATTTTTAGAGAAAAGGCTTAATTGTTGTCCATTAATCTGGACGACGTAAGCTGCAGTGGTGCCCGTGTGAGTACATGCATTTACCCGAGCACGAACGCCAGCTTTATACGCTGCACTCCCCTCACGTACAGACTCAATCTGCAAAATTCTAACTTAAAAAAAACTAATGCAGTATACCGTAGAAAACCAACTTCCGTACAAATAATCATGTAGCAACGAGGTATTTAGATTTAGATCATAATCTACCTTACCTTATTTTTGTGCTTCTGAAACACAATGCCAAAGTCATATGCCTGAGCGTCTTTTGTAAAAGTGTATCCTTTACCATATGGAACTGAACGTAGCATCAAATCCACCTGAATGACTACTTAAATATGCACTACAAGCTAAAAGAAGCCTAAATCAAGCTTTCATTAAAACGTTCCAAACTACTTTAATCGACGAACTTCTCTTCATTAACTTATGATTCTCTTAATACTGAGCAGTTTTCACTATTTCTGAAATATTTTCCTCGCAATACTCTATTTTTTTGTGATTTGAATAACTTGCTGATAAAACCAATCTGACGTATGCTTTGAAAAACTTTTAGAAGCTTACCGAAGTTACAGGTGAAGGAACTTTTCTTAAAAGTGTAAGAACCTGGTTCACGCTCTCAGCTTTAACATCCATGATTTCTACGAGCTCGTCGCCAACATGGATTAAACTAGACACGTGTTTCTCCGCAATTTTACTCCATCCTCCAATCCTGAAAATCTTCAGCAAACTGATTCGAATAAAAAAAACTAATTTGTTTGTCTGACTAAGAGCACCTTGCTATTAGCACCAAATCCAAAATCTTTGTAAGATTAAGATATGTACTTAAAAAAACAATGCACTGCAAAAACAACCAGCTATTCATAAACTCTCCCCGAAAAATCCACTAGACAAATAAAATACTCAACAAAACTTCAGCATTTATCTATAAAATGTATTTTTTCATTAGCAGGTAACTGTCAAACAAAAAGAAAAGAATAAAAATGAACTTATGAAAGGTGATGCGAAAATACGGAAAAGCTCATGTAGGATTAGAAAACAATGTACTAGAACATCCAAAAAAATAGATGGCATTAACTAAATTGGATTTAACAAGCACTTCTCGCAAGTTTTCAGCAACAGTTCTTACATAATTAAGCCACTGTTACTAAGTCAAAAACTGACCAAACCTTATTGCTGCATTCTACAAATGCGATGTGTTCCAAGCAAATCTGAAGTTGCAAAGCGATCTGAGTCGACTTATTAATTAACTGACCCCCATTCGGGCCGAAACTGCTTAAAAAGCCTTTTTTGCTTTCAGCAAGGCAAATTGTTGATTCCCGTTCAGAATGGATATTTGAAGTAAAGGGCGCTACTGTGCCAGATTGACTCCTCCCAACTTTCTGCGGAAAGGATACACTGCCATTACTCTGCGACCTGTCATTAAACATGGGCAGGTCGTAACGGTGATGAGGAGAGCAAACCGTGTCATAAACTTGAAAATTCTGCTGCTGATCATTTGTTTTTGCATGGACAGGAGAACTCTGCCTCGGGACGGAATAACCACGCTTGACCAAATCAGCTTTTGGAAGTTCTGATGGTACGTCAATTTCAGTGGATAAGATTGATGAATCTCTAATACGTCTAAAAAATTTGTGGCTGTAATACCGAATAAATCATACAATACCTAGTGCTATAAAAAATAAATCAATTATAATTTAAAAACCTGTAACAAGAACGAATTTCTGTGACTTGGCCTGTATACGACCAAAAAAATGGTTTCAGCTAATAAACCTCTAACGTAATATTTAAAGTTTTACAGAGACATTTCAAAGCTCTCAGTAAACCGATAACCCTTAGAAACTGTAAGAAGAGCTTACCCATAGTCATGAAAAGATGGATTTTCTATGCCACCATTAGTCGTTCCCTTTAAGTCTGACGATTCAGCTGTCATGGAAGGAACAAAGTTTCTTGGAAAATCATATGTAGAATTAGTCTAAAAAAATCCTAAATTCTGCATATTAAGACGTTTTTTGTTCAGCTTTAGCTAAAATGATACAAAAAACTACAAACAAAAATAATATGCCGAATCAATTAAGTAGCTTTTCAATTCACACAGGTAAAAAGAGAAATCAATTTCAACGCTGGGTTCTAAGCTAACCCATAGTGGATTGTAAGAGCTAATCCTTAATTTGAAGCGGTTATAAAATCCTTAATATTCCCCAAGCTATGCTAAAATGGATCCGTATCTAAGTTTTCAAAACTACACGAACAATAAAAACGAAAAAGTTGTTTCGCGACCGCGCTAACAAAAATTAATTCCTAGAAAACTAACACATAAAAGGGTAAAAAAAATTTATAAATTAAAAACCCATTGGCAGTAAACAAAACTTAGTAGTATGTTCAACGAGACTGTATTCGTTGTTGACGAAGTGCCTTGAAAGCCTTGCGCGATATCAATATAAAAATTTGATTACAATTTTTTCAATCTTTTTTTTTGGGCCCTTTCAAGTACACCAAAAACCTTAAAGCTCTTTTGATTCTCCCAACCAAAAGAGCAATTAGAATAGGATCATTATATCAATTTTAAAAAAATAAACTCAGTCTCATAGTTCTTCTACAGCAAGTTCGAAAAAAAAAACTCAAAATTATTATACTGAACGATAAACATCTTGCTTCAGAAAAGCCTGAACTCACAAAATACAAAAAATAATACATTTCCCAAGACTTACGTTGGAAGTAGAAGATATGGGAGGGCTCAAAGGTGGGTTTGGCCCACGAGGGGGTAAGGAAGGAGGAAGATCACGCTCGCTAACATGTTTCTTCCCGTTCAAGGTTTGCAGCACTGGTTTCGTTGTAACCAAAGCGGCTGATGACCTTTCCTCCAAAGATGTTGAAGGAGGACTGGGTACTGAGGGAAAATACTGAAACGTGCTACTAACACTGTTCTCGTTCGAAAATACAGGATAGTTACACTGAGGAACCTAAAAAAAAAGTCATGTAAAAAGTAGAAGTAACAAATGCGGTTACAGACAAAAAAAGAAGATTTACATCTTCATCCAGCACGTTGTTACTGCTTTCTAGGCCGTCATTACGATCAAGAGATAAAGAAGAAATATTTGGCAGCTCAGAATAGATATTATAAGAATCACCGAAGCAATGAAGCTGTACTAAAGCAGTAGTTGTTTTCCGAACCCAGTCCTGACAATCTTCACTAAAAAAATAACTCAAACAGTTCAAATAATGAAATATTTCAAAGAGGAGCCAGAAGCAACGACCAACGCTGTTAACGCAGTAAGTTCAAGAGGTTCAGTAACTGAATGTACAAAACCGATAGTAAAGCTCCGAGAATCCGATATGACAGGACTGACGAATGCCGCATCAAGCAAATCCACGACCTTATCTGGTCTAAAAAAATTAAAAAAGATTTATCTTTGAATCGCAGTTGCTTAACCATAAAAAAAAGAGCAGGTGAATCAGTATGGGGAGGTGTTTTAAGAGTATACTGATTCACAAAATCATAATTGGAGTTAAGTTTCCTGAGTGAGTAGGATGGAGTATAAAAAAACAGTGATGAGACATTTACCAAAGAAAAAAAAACACTCAAGAATTGTATAAAATTGACTTTACCTATGACCTTTGCTGAATTCTTCATTGAAGTACCATTCCAACAGTGGTATACGTTTATCATGCACACATAAAGCAACCCATTCTGCCTCTTCGTAACGCACTTTCTAAAACTTATCCAGATATAATAACAATTAACTTAAAACAACGAGCACTACTTACGCACTAAAAAAAAACTAAAAATTCATCATAACTGTTAAAAAATATCAAATTACAAAATAAGTGGCTACAAAGCAATAATTCAAAAAAAAAAAAAAAAAAAAA